ATGTTTTGCTTTTGATCTGCCTGAGCATCTATTACTTTGTCAATATGAGGAGTGCACACTGACCAAGGGCAATGTACGTCCGTGAATTTTTACTGACTGCAAATCTAGCTCTGCACGGGCTAAACCACACTGGCAGAATGTAAGACCTCATATGCATTTTCTGTGCTGTTCTGTACAACACGTGAGGAATGCTAATCAGCATTTGAAAGGAAACGTGGGCTTTCAAAGAAGACACACCGAAATGCAAAATGGGAATATATATTCCCCTACCAGAAAGTCCAGTAGAACTTGTGAGTCATCTGGAAGCAAATAACTCCCACTTCTTCCCCCCCCGCAACATTTCTAACTTAAAACACAATCATCCTCAAAGGATCAGGATCCTTCAGATTTTTTTTTCCTTTTAGTAATGGAATTAAGAACATAAACAACAAACAAACCTAAAGGCGAAATAAACCTGAGTAACAGCTGACATTTTCCTTCCCTGCACTGAATGTCAATATTTCGGGTTCATCACAGTTTGGTCACCACAACTGCAACCTGTCCCAGAAGAATACTGGATTCACGCGGGTCTTCTCAGTGCTGAAGTCCTGGTGGCACCGTGACCCATTTTAGTTCCTGCCTGGAAATGGATACTGAACAACCGCAGGGCTCTGAGTGACGTGAGGGACCGGGGGAGCATACAGAAGAGGGGGGGAAGGACTGCAGCGCAGCCAGCCACACCGCTCTGCCCCCAAGATGAAGCAGCTTCGAGACAGGCGAACAGACAGCTAGACAGGCAAGGTGTGGGGGATCACAGAGACAAAAGAGCCAGGGAGAGGAGCGAGAACAGAAAGAAGGAAAAATGGGACAGAGAGCCTGAGATATTCATAAGAAAGATCAGTTCTTGATCCTGAGCACAGGCAGCTTGAAAACATCCAGTCTGATGCAATGGGAGAAAGAGTAAGTTTATTTATTTGTATTTTCATCCTAATTGGCACATCCTGCCTCCATCTAGCTGTGCTGGTTCACTTAAGGAAGCACCAAGCCCAAGGTAACCTAACAAGGTAACAAATCACCAGGCAATCTGTTTATTCAGAAGTCAACCGTTTTAACTCCAACAAGCAAAGGAGCAAGAAGGACACCCATCCTTCATAAAATGCAAACAAAAAGAAGGGAGGAAAGCAAGCAGCATAAAGCATTTGGATTTTAAATCTCATCTAGAGCTTGTGCAGGCTTCCCCCCTACCACTGCTCCCCTGCCTTATGAACGCCTTTAGCATCCGTGCAAAACCTCGTCCTTGCGGTGCAGCCCCCTCGGACATGCACACAGACGGACTCAGCAGTAGCCCTGCCTGTCAGGTTGGAGACCTAAACAGCTCGGCTGTAATCTTTAATAAAAATATAAACTGTTCAGTGCCTCTTCAAAAAAACAAAAGCTTCCTGCTTGCTGTGAACAAGGTCTCTTTATAGAGAGATTTACTTTTAATTTTGAACAGCTTCGCAGCATTATCCTTAGCGGAAAAAAAAAAGAGCCCAGAGATTTTTGAGCTATTCAGTCAACTGCCTGGTAGGGTTTCTCATTGAAATTAGCTTCTCCTAGCAGCATCGCATGAGAATTGCTGGTTTGCATCTCTTCCACAAGTCATTTCACATTTTTAAAAGATGGACAAAGCGCTGATTTCATTTGATCGAAAACAGAAAGCCACAAAAGTCACCACTGCTGGTGGAGACCCTTAATATCAGCATTTCCCAGTACTCATTGTGCTAAGGGCACTGGCTCCAAATTTCAACAGCTCAGTGTCCCATCCTTTGCTTTTTTAATTTCTTTTTAATCTTATATGGGAAAAGAGTGATGGTTCCCATCTCAAAAAACTCAAAAAAATTATTATACTAAATATTGAGAATAGCAAGCTGAATTCACCATTCAAAAGTCTTAAAATGTCACAACATGGAAGTATTTCACTAGGAGACAGAAATTTTTACTTGGTTCAAAGCCTGAAATTCAGCTTCTCTCTTTTAGGAAAAAAAAAGCTATAAAGCCCAGGACCTTTTCAAAGGAAGCAGGAAAAATACTTTTTCAAATGCTTTTTGAGCCTACTTTGAATGGCAAAAGCTTATTTTCATTTAAACATTTTTCTTCAGTATTGGAAACTGAAAAGAGTTTCTAAACAAAGGGGGAAAGTAAACTGCCTCATTTTATTATCTCCAGGAGAAAATGGCAAAAGCAAACAAAAAAACACCTGTGCCTTTCAACTGCACCTTTTATGTCATTGCAACACATTTCTTCAATTTTGTACTGAATACCAGTAACTGATTTCTCATTGCTTTCTGCCCGTCTCCAAATGCATACCTTCTGTAGGGGCTGGCACCAGTGCAAGCAAACATACAAATATTCGGATTTCCGATTCTGACATTAAAAACTGCGTTTTAAAATTTCTGTATATTTCCTCCAGATTATACGGTTGCATATTTGGAAGGTCAATTTGAGACTGCTGTTAAGAGGAAGGATTTCCTAGTCCCTTGCATACTTATCATCCCTACTGAATTTAACTCGAAGATGCACCTCTTGCAAACAATTTCAGCAAATTCCCCAGAATATGACCCAAAAGCACGGCTCATATCTAAAGAACCACATTAACAACATTTTTTTTTCTATCAATTGTTGGAAAGCACAAGCATCGACAGCAAAAACAATAAAGTCATTTACAGGTTTTCAGTGTTCGTAGTTTCATTCTTATTAGCAAAACAGGGAAATAAAGGACAAGCTTGGCTCTAGTCTGAATTTAGAAATTGCTGCAAAGAAATCAAGGCAGCTTTACATTAGTGTAAGAAAGGTGCAAGATCAAAACCAAGCCTGTGGCAATGCTCTATCATGACATGATTTCTTTATAATGAGAGATAGTGAAAGAAAATAAGTGGGACAAGAATTTTAATGCACCCCAGACACACATTTACAATGATTAAACAGATCAGTACTTGTAAAACCCAAGGGTCCAACTTTACAAACCTTTACTCAAGCAAGCAGTTTCACTGAAATCAATGGCATTATTTGCGTATGTAAGAACTATTTATCTCAGTTGAGATCTGTAGGTTTAGGCCACACATTTCTATTTAAATCTTCTATGCAGCAGAATACACAAAATCGTATGAAAAACGGGACAACACCGGCACCTTGGAGTTAATTATCATTTGTACCAGCAGTTTTCTCCAGCCCTCTGAAGCATTTGATAGACTGGGCATGTTTCATAATTGGAAATGTTGGCAAAAATGTGAATTTCCTGATGTGAAGAACTGCTACTCATGGATAATAAACAAAATCAATTCTTATTTGCATATTCAATCAGATTTTGGTTTGCATATTAAAGCATAAGATGGTAGCATTTTCACACGGTAGATGGATCCCACTCACTTATTCATGCATATATGCATCCACTAATCCTTACACATGCCAAAATCAGTCAGAAATACTCTCTTTGCTAGGCATTCATAGCACAAAAACACTGTCCTGCTGCTGTTCTCAACCTTCTCTTTTCGTATAGCGTATGACAGCATTCTCCCACAGCTTTCTCCCAAGACTCTGTAATAGCCCCTGTTCTCTATTAGTCTTCTTTTCACTACGCAAAGCAATAGTTTGAATTTTTGAATCATAATTTAAAAGAGATGCTGTCAACTGTGTGTGTAAAGAACAAAAAACACTGGACCAGATTTTCAAAGGCGCTTCAGCGTGGACTTGACAATTTTGCTTGTAACTGTCACTGCAATATTGAATGTATCTCCCACTGTTAATATTGAAGTGTCTGGACTACAGCTAACATTTGTAGATTTAAACTACGCATACCTATTTTTCACATGCATCTATTAGGAAACAGAATTCAAAATATTTATATAGTCCAGTACTATCAAAATATAAAATATTAATATTGTCCCATGCACCATAAGACTAACATAAATGATAGCCCTGTAAACTATGCTCTAAGGTGCTGAATGCCTGCAACATCTGCGGGACTTGAAGGCAATCAGCACTGTGAGCGATTAGGTAACAGATTTGATGGTCTTGTAGCCAGTCTAACAGTCTGGATATCTAATTTGCATATAGAAGTGTGTCCTATTCAAATGTATATAATTTTGTGCATTAAATTAAAAATTCAACTGGAATCCTGGGCTTGAAACCCTAGCTAGCTGCAAACAAGAAGTTGTTTTCATGTAACTACAGAAAAAAAATCACATGAATGATCATCAAAACTAAACCGCAATCTGCTGCAGCAGCCTTTACTAGGTCAAGCACAGGGGACTGAAAAAAGTAGAACTGCCTAGGGTATCTGAAATAATCAGATATAAACAGAAATGGTATTTCACTCTCCCAGATGAGTGAAACGCAAAACTCGGCCAGCATGAAGAGTAAAGCTCACATAGGATTTCTAAAGTAATGCCAGCTCTGATCAATTGAAACGTTGTTAGCAGCAGGTTAAGGAGGTATTTATTTAACAATAGGACAGAATCTAGTTGACTTTGCAGGGAGAGGAGAGAGAGCAGGCAGGCAAGGGAGCACCAACTCATTCTTCTTCTACTTGAATCTTACGCAGCCCTTTTTGGAAGGAGGCAGAAGTACAATCCTGTGCTCCCCAAGTGCATATTTTGCCCTCTGTAAACACCAAGGGCATATTTGTGTCCACGTGCAGGGTCTCCCCGACAAAGGGCCGAGCCGCTGGCAGCCCTGGCTCTGTCCCCTCGCATCGCCCAGGGCGGCTGTGCTGTTCTGCTTCTGCTGAATGCCTCCCAGTGTCCTCACAGCATGCTGCAGCAGAGCTCTGCTCCCAGCTACAGGAGTCAAACCCTCCTCTGTTTTCCTAGCTCTAAAGAATTTAAACTATCCATATAAATAACCAGAAAATAAGGGTTTGACCCAGTTACACATCTTAGGGCTCCTTGCATTCATTTGCTAATGCTAAATGTAATGGAAATCACAGCTTTCCTAAAAAACAGGCAGAGAGAGAGGAAGAGAATTTGTGTTAAGGTTCCTACCCGCTTGGTTAGTTGTCACAGTGACTGACACAGCTTGGTCCTGGCTGGGATTTTGCTTGGACACGCCATTCATCGCCCAGACTTCAAAGGTGTAGTTAGTGTGTGCCAGGAGGTCAGTAATGGAGACTTTGGTGGTTTTCAAGCCGTTCTGCTGGGGGCTGAAGTGCACACCACTGCCACAGGACCGGCAGCGGCTGAGGTCGCCGGCACCACACCGCTTGCATACCACATTGTAGGAGATGTCTTCCCGACCACCTTTGTTCTGGGGGGGGCTCCACTCCAAGTTCACCGATGTCTCATTGACATTGGAAATCAGGTTCTGGGGAGCAGACGGAGGGCCTAGAAAGAAAAAGTCCACATGTTTTTAGTAACTGGAAAAACCTTATATAGTATCTCCAGACTTAGGGTCCTGGGTGATACTGAGCGTGTGCAACTCCCAGTTAAGTCAAGGACAGTGGAGACCACACAGAATTTTACTTCTCCGTGTTCTTAATGACGGTGAAAAATTAGCTGATAAGTCAAACTCTGATCTTTTCATCTGATGAATTAACAGTATTTTCCAGCTCTAAATGAGCCTGAAAGCCCAGTACTGCAATTAAACAAGAGTGGGGTTTTTTCACTTTCACTATTTATACTTGTTATGAAAAACTTAAAATTTATATATTTTACATTCATTTTTCCATGATCTCCCGAGCAAAGCATCAAATGCACAAAATCCTCCTTCACTTGAGATTTTTAAGGTCCCCCATTATGTACAGGCAGAGCCTCACTGAAATTGTTGATCTCCCGATATTTTCTTCTTAAGGATAGAAGTGCAATATTTTCCAGACAAGTTGATGTCAGATCACATTCAGTGAACACTGAAGCCCATCCAGCAGGGAGCTGTACATGACGCTTTGGGATGCAGGAAGGAGATTTGAGTAGAAAGCCGGACACAGAACTAAGGCTTTGAAGGAGGGAAAATAAAGGCTACAATAGGGGAGTGCTGGAGAACGTGAAAGAACTGGAGAGGAAAATATGGTGAGCAGCTAAAAGAAGAGCTGGTACAAGAAAACTGGTCAGGAACAAGAGTCCGTACAGAAAGCTTGGAAATAAGGCTGAATCAGAGACACAAGGTCAGCTCTTGCACCACAGCGACAGCAGACTTCAAGACTCGTAAACAGGCTGCCAAACAGTTCCCAGCTGGTTCCAGCATGGGGACTGTGGGATTTGGGGACAGAGACGAAGGCAGGCTGGGGAGGACCTCCCTGGGCAGGAGAGGGGCAGAGCTGGGCGCAGGGAAGGAGCGGAGCAGAGCCCGCAGGAGGCAGCTCCTCCCGGCACCCTCAGCAACCCGCTGGGACTGCAATGGTCGGTTCTGCCCAACCGGGCAAACTGCCTCCAGCAGTGCCCTGCCTCGCTCTGTAACCAAGGCACAGGCAGAAATCTTATTTATATGCTTAAATCCCCACAGGCCCAAAACCAATAAGCACATTGAAAATGCAGAAGAGCTAATCCTGTGACTCTTAATCTAATTTCAATACAGTTGTGGTGAGACACACTTTTTGTACCCTTAAATTTAACAAGGATGATTCAGAGCAACCCCATGAAATGGATGGGTATTTTACACATCACAAAAAGCTTCACTGATCATCGAAAGGCAGCCTATTCTGGGGTAGAGCACGAGGGCGCTCTGACTACAGATGCAATACATTGGGACAGGACATAAGGTAAATACTGTATGGAATAGAAATGAAACAGAGAGTGAGAACAAAGCTTGCAAAATGTAATGATCCAAACCGGAATACAGTAAAAATAGCAGTCCTTAGTAATTACTCATAGTTAGAGCTTTAAATACAAATATTATTACCAGAAAAATACTGGAAATAATTTTGTAGAAATTCACAAATTCAATTTTTATTCAAGACACAGGAGAGCTTGTGAAAGCTTCTTAAATTTTATCAAAATACATTTGATGGTTGGAATTAAAAAGAAGTTCAACCAGATCTCCTGGCAGAAAAGGAAGGGACAAGTTTCGTTCTACGTTTTCCATTCTTGTTATTTGTCAAATGTTATGAAACTGGAAAAAAATTCAGCCAGCACCAATAGTTTCATTAAATGTATAAATAAATCAATTATAATCTATCGTATGCCAAAGATAAAAACAGCCATCAGGGTAAGATGAGAACCAAATACATTATGGTGAAATTCTGCTGAAATTACAAAGTGACTCAAGCATAGCAGCGAAGAGGTTAAGCCATTAAGAGGTGACTATGATGAAGATTAATTCTGGCTGCCTCGATTCATCAGGTGCATCTAAAAGAAAGCCTGAGACCTGAGCACACCGTGTAGGACAAGGTTTTGAGGGCTGCATCACGTCCTTGGGTCTGTGCTTGAAGCCGCCAGGGTGTAACACATGTTCAACAGGAGACAGGACTTTTATTTTAGAAGAGGCAGGTAGGTTAAGAAGAGAGTCTTAAATTACATAGAGGTCAAATATATCTAGTTATCTTCAGTACCTAAATGAAAGGCCTCTGCTGCAAGAGTGGCTGAGCAAGGATTGTTTCTCTGTGCTCACTTCAGAAATACGAAATTAATATACTCATTTTGAAAAGAGGGAAATCCTCCCTTCCTGCCAAATCTTTGAAACAGTTTCCGAGTTAATCGGGACTGACAGGTAAAATTACTGCAAGGAGAAGAGAGAGCCCGGGCCAGCCCCTGCGATGGGGAGCCGTCCTGCCTGCTGCACAACCGGGCTGCCATTCATTACTTTTATTTATACACTGGCAGCATTTAGGACTCCTAAGGACAAAACCCTTTTATTCAAAGATCAGTTACCAAACACAGTAAGAGACGTTTCCTGCTCCAAAAATGCTTACAAACTAGCAGAGAAAAAAAGGGAAAGAAACTGTTCTTAATCTCTGTTCATCACATGGAAACTGAGGTAGAGAGAGATGTGGTGAGACGACAAGGGCACACAAGACGTGCTTTGCACATCTGGGCATTGGTCACAACTCTCCCAAGTCTTAGCCCTGTGCCTCTGCCCCATGAACAGCTCTCCTTCCCCCAAAAGCTGGGTTTGCCAGCTCCCCTGCAGAGGAGAAAGCGGTCTCTGCTTAGCCTGCAAATACACAAGCCTCCTTTTCAAAAATACACTCCGAGCGCAATGAGGTGGAAGACGCTCCTGAAATCATGAACTCGAGCGGCAGCGCAGGAACTGCTGAGCAGGAACTGATCTAAACCCCATCTACCCCAGAACTCCCCAAACTGCCTCACACCAGGGCACTCTCTTCAGGGCAGGCAGGTGCACAAGGTGACAACATTTGTCCCTCCACACTGTCAAGGAGGCAGGAGAACAAACAAAAGCCTCTGGAGGAAACTAGCAGCCTCAGTAGACTGCAAGCCTAAGTCCATGCTGTGCAGCGAAGGTCTGACCTCGCCAGAGCGGCTGCCGGAGCCGGTGGGAGCTGAGGACGTGTGTCCTCCCAGAGGCTGTTCAGTAGCTGGCAGCAGCAAGCCCTGCTCCTGTGGGAAACAGCAAGAGCTTTACAGCGAGAAAAAGCAAAAGGAGTTTTCTTACAGAGCGTTCACTTGCTGCAATCACACAAGCGAGAGCATCGACTCGGAGCACGGCCAGGAGAGCTGAGGTAAGGTGGCGCCCGTGCAAACACCTGCCCTCCCTGAGCAACGCCTGGCTCTGCCAGGGCTGCCCTCATTGCAGGGGGATATTCGTGAAGCAAAGTACTCCACGCAAGGAAGGTTCATACTGCCACAGTTACGGTCTGGAAGAGGTGCCTCTTAGCTCAGATACAGCAGCCAGTTTGGGGTTAAACTCAGACTTACTCTGATGTCCATTAAGATATTTTCCAAGGCTCTAGGTCCAGTTTCACGTGGGAAAATGTGCCAGAATGAATCAAGCTCCTCAGAAGCAAAAAGTCAGTAATTAGTATGTGGGACAGGGCATTGCAGTGTCTAAACAGAGACGCAATGAAGCGGAAAACCAGGGAAGCAGATGCTTGCAGGTCACAGAGATGAGTGCACCACCTCCAGCATGAAAAGGAAGATGCGGGGGAGTCTCCAAATGGTGGGCTGACATTACAGTGAGGGGAAAAGCAATTTCTTTTCTTTCTGGAGCATAGTCATCAATGGAGCTGTTGGCACTGGGAGTGGGGGGAGTTTCAGATTGATGGGCCTGGTTTCAGATGTTACAACACAGGGCGTATCTGCTCCTTCAATGGTGATCAGGATTTGCTTTGTTTCTAACAACAGAGCCGCTGCGATAGATGAGATGAAAACCCTTTCAGGGCTGTGGCAGGCTGGAAATGCCAGCGCTGTTTCAAGATGAACCCAGCTAGCAGGGTCCTGCAGGAACAGCGTCCTGTCGGCCAGACCACCGCCCTCATACAAACCCTCTGTCCTCCTGCAGAAAAATCTAGCTACAAGGCAGATGAGAGGGGAGACAAGGAGCTGCGCCACTGAAACTGGTGCCAATGTCTGTGATTTTGTCCCGAACCCCATGATTTACAGCATTTTTCTTAAAACTCCTGCTGATGGAAGCATGCTATTGCATGAGCCATTCGGCACTCTGGAAGGATGGAGCTAGTAGTGCCACACAGCCCAGAAGAGCTTAAAAATGTGACAGTCCCTACAGAAGAAAAAAAAAAAAAATCCAGACCTTTTTATTTTGTAAAACAACAAATTTTAAAGTTCATTTTATGATGTTAGGAAGCCAAGTGCTCTCGCTTTCCTTGCCCAAGACAACAGAACCTGAGAGATGGATCTGCAGAGCCGCTCACACGTGTCCCGTCGGGGGACTGCAAAGAGGACACGGTTTGATCGTGGGGCCTGAAAGCCGGATCCCTCACCCAGCCCATTTACCAGCACCATGAGTGGACACAGGGGACTCCTCTGAGGGAGCACTGGGAACGGAAGTTTTTAATTTTATTCTTTCCTGGGGCTCCATAAATCTTGCTTCACAATAAACCCATCAAAATCAACTGAGCCATGAAGCAAATGGAAAGGCCCTGGGTGGAGCAGTTCATTGTGTGTGTTGGGGCTGAGGGAAACACTGAAGAGTCTGTTTAGCAACAAATAATCTTTGTCAAGCTAATCTTGCTATCTGCCTCAACCCTCCTATTAGATTTACTTAAATGTATTGGGCAATGGAGATTGTTTGGCTTTCTCTTGCTGCAATAAGCTATAGCCATTATATCTATCTGCTCTTTCACCCACAAATAGGCAGATCTGTTTGTCTTAAGGACAATGTTGTAACCTATGTCAAATGAATATTCAGGAAAACTAGAGCTTTTAAGGGGTTAATAGCATGAGCATTACTTGTCCTAAAAGGACTGATGTATTTT